GTCCCAGACAGAGGGGACAACTGCTTGTCTGAAACCCATTCTCTCTCTTGTAAACTATCTCGAATCGGGATCCAAAGACTAACAGCACCTATGAGAGTTATGTTTGCTCCTGTACATTCTATCATAACCCTAAACACACAGACCGAAGACAGTCTACCGTTTCCCTCTTTACAAGGTTTGTTCCAAATCTGCTTTATTTCCCTTTATCCTTCATTTATATTCTACCATCTCCTTGTCTCCTTTTTACAAAGTTTATTCACCATTGGCCCAAAGCTTGTTTTCCTTTTCCTTTTCGAGCGATCCTCTCTCAATGGTGTCCTTCACTGTATCCCATTTACTTGAGCCCGATGTCGAGGCGCCATCTGACCAAGTCAGCTCAGTCAGTCAACAGGGGCTCAAGCGACGGAGTGAGGATTGAAAAAGAAAAAGTTACACAAAATTATAACATGACTCCAGCCCGTCCTGAGGCTGAAGCAGCTTTATTCTGTCCAGCCTACTTTTATGTCATTCTAGGTACATCCAAAAACCGTGGTCACTTCTTAGCTCAAAGACAAAGTAATGAAGCGAAGCCGTAACCAAGGAGATCACACAAGATAGTAATAAAGCAGAGTAGTGAGCAAAAGGACCACACAAGGTCGTAGTTAAGTAAAGTGGTAAGCAAGAGATCACATAAGGTAGTAACTCAGCAAAGCCCCATGGCCACTGTTTCTCTCTCTCTCTCTCTCTCTCTCTCTCTCTCTCTCTCTCTCTCTCTCCTCTCCTTCTTCTTCTTCTTCTTTTTTTTTTTTTTTTGTTTTTGTTTTTCGAGACAGGGTTTCTCTGTGTAGCCCTGGCTGTCCTGGAACTGACTCTGTAGACCAGGCTGGCCTCGAACTCACAAATCCCCTGCCTCTGCCTCCCAAGTGCTGGGATTAAAGGCGTGCGCCACCACTGCCTGGCATGGTCACTGTTTCTAATATTCTTATCTGAGCCTACTTCCTTGTTTGAGCCCAGAGACAGACAAATGCCAAACTCCTAGAAGTGGCACCAAATGCTCTCAACACCGGCCTTCTGATAACAGAGGAGAAAAGTACTCTCCTGGGGGAAAGAACTCAAAAAGAAAGAAAGAAAGGCAGTGGGGTCTTGAGGGCACCAGAGACTTCTGGTTTCTCCCTGAAGTCACACAGTAAGTAGGGTAGGTCAGGATAGGGCTGTCTGCACCACCCCCTTCTAGTGGCCCCTCACCTAGCAGACTGCAACCCTTGAAGCTCACGGAGGCCAGGCTTTGAGTGTCCACCAGGCTGTGATCATTTCCCTACATTAAAAGCTACTATAGCAAACAACTGTAGAGCCATTAATGAAATACAAATTTGTGAATGAACCAGTTGTGGGACAGCCATTGATAAAATGTTGTTAATGCTGGGCGCACTGCAGAGGGGTGAATAATTAGTTAATGTAGTAAATGCAAAATGCCCACACAGTGTGTTCACTGCCCTGGGATCCTGTGAACTCACTCCACCATTCGTAGCTGTGTGACCTCAGGCAAGTGGCCAGACTTCTCTGTTCCTGTCAGCATGTTGTCTTCACGTTTCTGTTTTCTATGATTTTTGAGGGTGGATCTGATTCCCTCTGGGACGCAGTTTGTCTTTGGGGACCTGGGCACAGTGATCTCCTCTCAGGCCTGGAGTGATGTTTAAGAGTTCTTGAACCTTGGCTGGTGGCCTCTGCTCCCCTCACCCCCTGGGAATGGCTATAATTAGCTCCAGCCTAGCAGCCACAGATGGTATTTTCATTTTGGACTCAGTGAGGTTTTTCCCACCAGGTGTTCAGGGCTTCCTGGCCAGGCTGAGCCTCCCCAACACGGGGGTGGGGGCAGAGGTGTGACTCCCAAACCTCAGTGTTCTTGACTCAGTAATGGACGTAACTTAGTTCCAGCTATACCCCCCATCACTTAGGTCCCCACCAAAACCCTTCTCCATAGCCATCCCCAGGGTGTTGGGAATCCTGGGAATCACGTTTTGGGCAAGGGCTGGAGTGTGTGTGTGTGTCTGTCTGTCTGTCCTTTCTGTACAGCCTCAGCTCCCGGTCACCTGGCCTCAGCCTGGCCACTGCATAGTCCATGTCTTTCCTTTGTCTGTGACCTGCATAAGCCTCAGTTTCCCCTCTTGTCCAATGCGATTGTGTACCCCAGCATTCCAGCAGAGCCCCTGGTGTAGATCCCGTGACATCTGGAGCAGCCCAGGCGGAAGGCTCCGCGGGCGGATGTTTGTGTGGGAGACACAACCTCACCATTGAAATGGTCCAGACGTGGGGCCTGGGGAACGTCAGAGCGACGGGGTCACGCGGGGACCTGGGGGCTGGAGCGGTGCTGCAGCGCTCCAGGAAGCCCGGTGATTGCGCAGTGCCTCAGTTTCCCCCACGGGAAAACAACTACGGGGTTTGCCATTCGGGACGTCCTCACCCTGGAATGAATCTGAGTTACTGTGGGCTGCGGCGTCCCGGTACCTCAGGGATCTCTCTCCCTATGAGGGGATATCCTTCTCCAATCTCCCACAAGACTCTGAGATAGTCTCACTCTGAAGTCTGAGGTGTCCTTGAATTAGCGGTAATTCTCCTACCTCAGCCTCCCCAGACGGAATGGCAGATGTGCCCGACCACACGGCATCTCGCTCTGAGGCGGTTCCCAGCCCAGACCCCCATACCAACCCCTAAGGCTGTGCTTGGTGGCTACCTACCTCTCCACCTATCTGTCGGGAGGCTGAAGCGGAAGTACCATGAGTTCCCAGTCAGCCCGGGTACACAGTGAGTTCAAAGCCAACTTGGGCTACCTGAGGCCCGGTCTTAAAAAACAAAAAGTGAATTAACTAGAAGTTAGAGAATAGAGTCGCGGGTATGCTGAGCCTCAGTGTCCCCGCAGTTTCCCCCAGGGTGGGAGACGCACAGCGACGGGCGGAGCCTGGTCCTCTCGCTCCGCCCCGGGGCAGCTAAAAAGGTCCGGCTTCCCGAGTCCCAGCTCAACCCGGCCATGCAGGGCTCCGCGGCCCCTGGCTGCCTCCGGGAGCCCCTGCGCGGCTCCCCCGTGCTCTTCAGGAAGCTGCTGGTGAATCAGAGCATCCGCCTGCAGCGCCGCTTCACGGTGGCCCATCCGCTGTGGTGAGGGGAGCAGGGTCAGACACAGGGATTCGGGGTGACACGCAGGAGCAGCCACAGCCACGCTAGGGTCAGGCGTCCGTCTGTCCGCCCGCCTCTCCCTCCTTTCTGTCCTGTCTCTGCCCGCCTGCACCCTCCACTCACCGCTTCGACGCACGCTGAGGGGGCCTGACCATTGTACTCCCCGTCCCTGTGCAGCTGTGCGGCCCTGCAATCTGGGTCTGACCCAGCTGGCCTACGGCGGGCGCGCGGGAGCGGGGTGGGGGAGCTTCCCTCCGATGTCCCACCCCTCGTCGGCACGCGGGGCTGCGGGGTCAGGCGGGGGCTTCGGAAGCAGGGGTGGAGTTTCCAGGTTCAAATCCTAACCTGCGCTAAGGAGCTGTGACCTCATAGGCTGTACGCTCCTGCAGTCGAGGCAGAGCCTTGTGGGCGCACGGTGACCAGCCTCGTGCCGTCATTTTGTGGGAACTGCTTGCGGGCTGAGTGTAGCACTCCGAGACGGGAGTTCCCTCAGCCAGGTCACACGGCATTTAGTGACAGCTAGGGGACTGCGTGACCCTTGGGAGCTTGGGATCCCGGGGTCCTGTGGGATCAGGACCACAGTCATCAGCCAAGAGCAGCCCCTCTCTAGGGTCTGAAGGGAGTGTGCCACCTGGTACCCAAAAGTGAGCCTGAGGGAGGAGGGCAGGTCCTCAGAAGGTTGAAAATGAAGTTTCTTTGCCGCTTGGTGCCTCAGTTTACCCGTCTGGCCCACGCGCCGTTCCCACAGCCAGGACAGGGACCTCGCAGAGTGCTTTCACGTCATGGAACGGCTGCCTGACCCGCCAACCCCGGCTAAGTTTAGAGCAGAAAGAAAAGCAGCCTTTTAGGCCCAACAAATCGCCAGCCAGCCCTTAACCCTGTGCGCCCGAGGGCGGGGTTAGAACCTAGCACCGTGAAGTTGCCCCTGCCTCAAGTTTTCCAGTCGTTCCCAGGTGGGACAGGAAAAGGGACCACCACCTGAAGTCCTTGGGATGGAGAGTTCGGGGCGCTCACGGGGACACGAGGGAGCCCCTGGGCCTGGGGACAGTAAAGGCGCTCCCTCCACGTGACATCATGAAGTGTCCAAAACCCGAGGGAATCTGGCAAAGAGGACGAGCGCAGCTGAGCTCACCCGAGTGAGGTGGGACTGGGTCGAGGATGCTCGAACCCATTCGAACTCGCCCAGTCCTTGCCGGAAACAGCCGAATCGAGCCGAGCTTATCCGGCACTACTGGTGAGGACCAGGATGGAGTGACCTCTAGGGTACAGCAGACGATCCAGATGATCACGTGACCGCGTCTCCGGCCAGCGGGCAGCGCTTCCCAAAGTCGCCACCGTCCTCCTGCACCCAGTTCCTGCCCCACACGCCTCTTTCTAGAAATGTATTTATCATCGTGTGGGTGTTTTGTCTGAACGTGTGGGCGCCACGTGCCTGGCACCACGGTCGCCGGAAGAGGGCGTCAGATCCCGAGTACTGAGTCACATTTGCCCTTACGTGGGAGGCGAACCCCAGCTCTACAAGCCCCGAACCTTTCCGAGCTCTAACCCCAAGGAGAGGAGTGTAGACCCGCTCCTGCCGGGTCAGAGGCAGTGGAACCTGGAAGCCTTGCAGAAGAGGGCGTGGGCGACAGAGAGGGGCGGTGCCTTTGGTGGGGCGGAGATTTGGGGTTGGGGCGCGGCTGATTGGCCCAAGGCATTCGTTCCCGCGGGGCAGGCGTGATGGAGGTGGAAGGGGGCGGGTCTAGGGAGGATGGGACGGATTCACCAACAGAAGGATCCTCCCTGAGGTTGTTTTTCTGTTCCCGCCTCCAGCTGTGACCTGGAAAATGGGCTCCCGAGCGGCAGGGGTCTCCTGGACGCTCAGTCCGGGTCGAGTGTCAGCCGTGCCTTCCAGTCCCCTGTCCATCACGGCCAGCGGCGCGAGTCTTTCCTGTACCGCTCGGACAGCGACCATGAGTCTTTACCCAAGGCTGTGTCCCGGACCTCCTCGGCGGCCAGCGACCTGTGAGGCCCCTTCCTCCGATTAGTGAGGTTTTGGAGTTGAAGTAGGAAAGTTGGAGTTTCCCAGAGTGTTATTTTGTGAATGTTCAGCATGTAGCAAACACCAGTGGTCTGTGCTTGCTTGGCCTTAGGCCAGGTTGGGGACAGCGTGGCATATTAATTCGGAAACATTAAGGCCCATTAGTAGTAACTCAACAAATACTTTTACTTGAGCCCCGTAGTAGTTGTGATGAAAAGGGAAAAACAATTCTTTCTTTCCTGACTCTGCTAAGACCCCTTCTGTCTGTGGGACTCAGTTTCCCCATTTTAGATATGGATAACGTAGGGGATTGGTGGGAGAGGCTGGAAGGGCCTGGGTAGGAGTCTTGAGGGGAGGGCTCGCTGAAGCCGGCAGATGCCCTCAGTGATGATCTTATCCTGCAGACTTGGAGAAGACATGATTGTCACGCCCTTCGCCCAGGTGGGTGTCCCCCGCCGCCCTCCTACCCGAACGCACAGAGGGAGCTGTGCGTCCTCCTGTCGCTGAGCACTGCTCTCGCCACAGGTCCTGGCCAGTCTCAGGACGGTCCGTGGCAACGTGGCTGCCCTGGGCAGTGTCACCAGGTACGGAGAGCTTCAGGAAGGGCGGGGTCTGACGGCGTGGGGTGAGGTGGCCCCTCTGACGTCCCTGTCCACAGGCAGGTGCTTCTTGGGACCCCTTCACACAGCAGCCAACAGGAGGCCTCAGCAGGTATCACCCCACCCCCAACCCGAGGCCAGCTGTGAAAGTCCTCCCATCCTGCCCTTGGATTGTGGCTCATCGCAAACAGGCTCCACCCCCCAAACCTACATTTGCACACAGAGCCCCCCCCACACACACACATTACAGACCAGAGAGGGTCCTGGGCCTCTGTCTGGCGTGACAGTCACTCGCAGGAGGTTGTGGAGCTGGGAGCTGTGGTCCTAGGCTTTGGGGGTTGAGGTGCAGAGATGAGGGGGCACAGGCTCCCAGCGGGGGTCCCTGCCCTGATGCACGTGGCTCCCAGAGGACTCTGGGCTGCAGCTGGCACAGGAGACGCTGGAGGAGCTGGACTGGTGCCTGGAGCAGCTGGAGACACTGCAGACTCGTCGCTCGGTGGGCGAGATGGCTTCCAACAAGGTGAGGACGCTGCACCCCTGTTTGCCGTCCTCCCTACTCACCGTCCTCCCTGCTCATCCTCCTCCCGGGCCCTGCAGTTCAAGCGCATGCTCAACCGCGAGTTGACCCACCTGTCGGAAACCAGCCGCTCAGGGAACCAGGTGTCAGAGTTCATCTCGCAGACGTTCCTGGGTGAGCGGCCTGACAACCTTGGGAGGTCGTAGGAGGTTTCTCCCTCAGACGCCATTGCAGCCCTCTGAGGAGGACTAGCGAGGTCTCAGCCAGCACAGTTGGCCAGGGCTGGAGGAGAGGGATGGCAGGGACACTTTTGGGGGAGAGGACATAACAGGTAGGATTTTGAAGCACAAGTAGGAGTTTGCCAGTGAAGACAAGGGGAACACATGTGACCCTAGACACAGCAAATCCTGCAGATCCTCATGACAGGAGGAGACACCGGTGATAAACAAGATAGCTGGGCCTGGGGTCCTGAGTCAGACCTGCTCAGTGGGTTGGAGTCTGAGCCACCTGCTCTCTGCAGACCAGCAGGCTGAGGTGGAGCTGCCTAAGCCGCCCACGGTAGACAACCCGTGGCCCATGGCCCAGATCACTGGGCTGTGTCGGTCCCCCCACACCAGCCTTCCCACAGCCGCCATCCCACGCTTTGGGGTCCAGACAGACCAGGAGGAGCAGCTGGCTAAGGTGGGTCTCTGCAGAGCCACGGGACTCAGTTTCCCAACCTGTACACGAGGCTCAAGGGACAGATGCAGTACCGCTGTCGCCCTTAGGAGCTTGAAGACGCCAACAGATGGGGATTTGACGTGTTCAAAGTGGCTGAGCTGAGTGGGAACCTGCCCCTCACAGCTGTGATGTTCAGCGTCCTCCAGGTGCTTCCCTCGCCTTTGCTGTCCTTCTATTCCAGTCTTGAAAAGACCCAGATTGGAGTAGTGGGGCCCTGAACTGTAACTGGTGGGTTGAGTAGAAAAGGGGACAAAGACAGAAAGAACTCAGGATTGCAGCAGCACCAGGACATCCTGGAGGAAGGGGCATTGGAGGCAGAGGAGTGGGGTGAGCTGAGCTGGAGCCCCAAACCCAAGGCCCTGAGTCAGGTCTGTGACGCACCAGGAACGGGACCTGCTCAAGACGTTCCAGATCCCAGCGGACACGCTGCAGAAGTACCTGCTGACCCTAGAGGGGCACTACCACTCCGACGTGGCGTACCACAACAGCACGCATGCTGCCGACGTGGTGCAGTCTGCGCATGTGTTGCTGAGCGCCCCAGCCCTGGAGGTACCATGCCCAGCCAAGGACATGGGGTGGGCAGGGCAGAGCGGTCACCCTCGGCCCTGATGCCCAGGCTCTGCTCAGGCCGTGTTCACGGACCTTGAAGTCTTGGCAGCTATCTTTGCGTGCGCTATACACGACGTAGACCACCCGGGTGTCTCCAACCAATTTCTCATCAACACCAGTAAGTGAGGTGACCACAGCTGAAACTCCCCAGTGTGTCCTGAACCGTCCTACCATGCAGACTCAGACGGGTGTCGGCGGCTTGGATGGCTTTCTGCTGGAAGAGGCATTAGCGTTTGGGCTTCAGTGGATACATTGGATTTGGCCAGTGATGTTCCCTCCTCAATAGTTTTTGGGTGGAGTTGGGTCTCGAGACCATGGTTGTCCCCACAGACTCGGAGCTGGCCCTGATGTACAATGACTCATCGGTGCTGGAGAACCATCACCTGGCGGTAGGCTTCAAGCTCCTGCAGGGGGAAAACTGTGACATCTTCCGGAATCTCAGCACCAAACAGAGACTGAGTCTGCGCAGGATGGTCATAGACATGGTGACGTCACGGCGTGGGGCGGTGATGCCCTACGTGGGTTAGGCTTCCCACACAGGCTGTATGGCAACAGGCACGGGGTTTCCATTGACCTGCTTGGTTTTCTCCTAGTCAGTGGGTTGTCGGGGTTCAGGGTCGCATATTTCATTTATAAATTCAACACTTATTAGGTGCCTATTGTTTACTGATTTTTACCTGTGTCCTTTGGGTATTCCTTTGCTATTTACGTTTTTTGGAATTCATCCCCTTACCTCCACTTCTGTACCCACAGGCGGGCAGCTTCAGTTGACAACTGTGCCGCCCAGCGTTTCCGTCCTCGCTTTCACAGGTGGGGCTACTAAGGCACAGAAGGTCTCAGAGGTGCAGCGTCCTTAACTTCATGTCCTCCCAGGTGCTGGCCACAGACATGTGTAAGCACATGAGCCTCCTGGCCGACCTTAAGACCATGGTAGAGACGAAGAAGGTGACTAGCCTTGGCGTCCTGCTCTTGGACAACTACTCCGACCGCATCCAGGTTTGCCCCGAGCCTCAGTTTCCCGCTTTAGCTTCCTGAGAGAGTCTTTTCACTCGGTAGCTTAGCCTGCTTGAGTAGTCAGTATTCTCCTGCCTTGGGTGCACACCACCACACTGTGCTCAGCTTTGGGATGTGGTGAGAGGATGTGGCTGGGCCCTCTGAGTCCCCCACCCTCCACAGGTCCTCCAGAGCCTGGTGCACTGCGCCGACCTTAGCAACCCCGCCAAGCCGCTACCCCTCTACCGCCAGTGGACGGAGCGCATCATGGCCGAGTTCTTCCAGCAGGGCGACCGGGAGCGTGAGTCAGGCCTGGACATCAGCCCCATGTGTGACAAGCACACAGCCTCAGTGGAGAAATCCCAGGTGCGGAGAGGGAGCTGTGCCCCACTAAAGGGTGGAGTCATTCTTTTTAAAAAAATTTTATGTATGTGAGTACATTGTCACTTGTCTTCAGACACCCCAGAAGAGGGTGTCAGATGCCATCACAGATGGTTGTAAGCCACCATGTGGTTGCTGGGAATTGAACTCAGGACATCTGGAGGAGCAGTCAGTGCTCTTAACTGAGCCATCTCTCCAGCCCCTCAGAGTCATTCTTGAGACAGGGCTTTCCTGTGCTGCCAGCCCTGGCTATCCTGGAACTCCCTCTGTAGACCAGGCTGGCCTCTGTCTTAGAGATCCTCCTGCCTCTGCCTCCCAAATGCAGGGATCAAAGGTGTGCACCACTATCCAGCTAGGGCAGATTTTTGATTTGTTGTTTTAAAGACATCTCATTTTGTCACCCTGGCTGGCCTAGAACTCACTGGCTAGAGATCAGCCTGCCTCAGTCTCCTGGCATGTTGTGCTAGGATGGGTTTTTTCAAGAGGATTTTGAAGGATGAATAGGAGTTGGCAAATGAGCATTGCAGGTGGAGAACACCGTGCAGCCGGCTGGGAGACGAGGCTGATTCTAGATCTCACTGGGACTCACTTGCCCCTTCTGTGCTCACTCTAAGGTGGGATTCATTGACTACATCGCTCACCCATTGTGGGAAACATGGGCTGACCTAGTACACCCTGACGCTCAGGAGCTGCTGGATACCTTGGAAGACAACAGAGAGTGGTATCAGAGTCGGGTTCCCTACAGCCCTCCACACGGCACTGGCCTGGACAGGTTCAAGTTTAAGCTGACCCTGGAGGAGACAGAGGAGGAGGAGGAGAAGGAGGACGAAGAAGAGGAAGAGGAGGAAGGGCAGTACACAGCACTGAACAGGAAGTCCTCAGAGCCACCCAGCACTTAACTCCTGTCCTCCAAGGCCAACCCAGAGCCCAGCGTCTGCTTTGTCCAACAAGAGTTGGGCTAGTCTGGCGCGGACCATGAAGTCATGGGTGCTGATGCCTTCTCTTTCTGCCAGTCAAAGATACAGCCAAGATTTACACATAGCCAAGCTTGAGGTCCTGAAAGCCTGTGGCTGGGGTTAATTCTGACCGCAGGGTTGGCTAGAATGGCACCAGGGCCTGGGCAGTGCCACCTCATGCATCTCAGAAGATGGACTAGGCTTCAGTCTGCACGCAGGCTACAGCAGGACTCTGTGTTCTAGTTTAGTTGGTTTCTTTTTGGTGCTGAAGATGGAACCCCAGATTCCCATGTGAGCATAGTGACCCCCAGCCCCATCGTCCTCCCTTGATGTCCTGCCTTCACCAGTCCAACCGCAAGCCTTCACTGAGTCCCTCAGGGGGGATCCCTTTCGTAAAATGCGGGCAGGGACCGCCTCCCACAGAGGTCTGGTGTCTCCTGACACCATTGGTTGCACAAGACTCTTCTTAGCTAGCGAGAGGTCAGTGACCCCTGCAGGCCTCCGGCTTGCCATGAACTGCTCATACACTTCAGGAAACTGGTGGAGAATCAGTGAGAATCCACTTCAACAAGATTGGGCTTCCCAAACCGTGCGCCGAAGCACCGCTGTTCTCCACAGGCGTTCCCCAGACTCAGGAGGTGGAGACAGCTGGTCCACACTGGGCAGCCGGACCAGAAATAAAAAGAGCCAGAGTGTGGCTAAGGGGTGGAGCCAATGAGGGGTATGGGGCGTGGCTCTGGTAACAGAGCTTCAGCTTGTGGAAAGTCCTGAGTTCCATTTCTATCACTGCAAAAATAGAAATAAACCTGCTCGTTCACTTGTGGGGAAACTGAGTCATAACTTGTCCCTCAAAGCTCTTATGGAGAGTGGGAACTGGGTCCTGGTGCCCCCTGGTGGTATGACTGATTCCCTGTTTGTTTTGTGCACCATGCTTAAGACTTTTTGAGACAAAGTCTCACTTTTTTTTTTTTTTTGCTTTTTTGTTTGTTTGTTTGTTTTTTTGAGACAAGGTTTCTCTGTGTAGCCCTGGCTGTCCTGGAACTCACTCTGTAGACCAGGCTGGCCTTGAACTCAGAAATCCACCTGCCTCTGCCTCCCAAGTGCTGGGATTAAAGGTGCGCACCACCACTGCCCTGCAAGGTCTCATGTTCTCAAGTCCTGATGTCAAACTTGTTTGCCACAGAGGATGACACTAAAATGATTTTCTTGCTTCCACCTTCCAAGTGCTTGGCTGGGGTGACAGGCATGTGTCATGTTCCCTCCCTCTCCCTCCCTCTTCCTCCCTCTCCCTGTGGACCTGTAACCCTGCACTTGACCAAGGCCTCCAAGGAGCAAGAGTGGCAGGCGACTTCCTCTGTAAATATTATGACTCCAGCTATTCATTCCCCGGAGGCACAAAAGGCCATCTTGGGTCACACACTGGGACATTTCCTTCTTCCTTCCAGATGTTTTAAGAGGTGACCCTTAGAGGTTTCTTGTTAAACAAAGTAATATGTGTTCACTGTGGGAGAATTTGGAAGTCAAACTTACAAAGAAAATAAACTATTGGGCCACTGAGATGGTTCAGCAGGCCAAGGCGCTTGCCGCCAAGTCTGATGACGTGAGTTCCATCCCTCGGACTCCCTAGGTTATCCTCTGACACTCCCCTTTCCAACACAAATAAATGAGTATAAGTTAGGAAGGTTTGAGGAGAAGTTTCCCTCTGTCTCTTCTCCCTGTGCTCTCGTTCTCCCAGGCCTTTAACACACACATTTCATTTTTCGAGACAGCTGCACTGTACTCACTGCGTAGCCTGGAACTCAGAGACCACTAAGTGGTGTGTGAGTAAAGGTCTCGGTCAGCATGCCAGCACTTGTCCCCTACTGCTGTTTCTATGGATCACTCTGTGATCCAGGGCAATGATGAACTCCCAATCCTCCTGCCTCAGGCTTCCAAGTGCTCCGATGGAGTCTTGCCACCTACTGAACCACAAGCACAGTTCTCATAGAGCCCTTGCTTGGTGCTGGAGGCGGCTGGGTTCCTCCCCTGGCCTTATCCCTTGGGAATGAACCCAAATCAGGCTGGGGTGCCGCAGACTCCCTCTGCATTCTCTGTCCTCAAACCTGATCGGGGGTCCCCACCATAGCCTCTGCGTGGGCCCAGAGCTCACTAAGTAACAAACTGATGGTCACTTTGTGTCTCTGCACGAATGCAGGGGAAGCAGAAAATAAACTTCCTCGGAGGCCCAGGATTGGGCGGAGCTCTAAGCTCCTCGCGGGGGTGGACTAGCATCCAGGCGACAAGTTATTCTGGTCCCTTGGCGCCTCCGCAGCTGGCGGGGCGGTCTATAAATGGGGCCAGGCCACATTCCCAGTTCTGCTTCCTGTGGGGACGAAAGAGATGGGGACCCTGCCCGGCCGCACGGCGAGGGAGAACAGGACAGACCCCAGATTCCCACCGTGGCAGGCGGGTTTGCAGAAATGAGAGTTTGCAGGGATGAGTCGTATGGTATCATGGCCTGGAAGTCTGCACTTCTGCACCCAGCTTCCTAAGACACAGGGTCGCCTGGGTCCTAGTGTCCATATTATAAAGGGCATGGGGTAGCTGTTCTCGAACCTTATCTGTTTCCTTGGTCTTGTATTACAATTTTGGAAGATTTATGGGTCAGGATACTTCTGAGCCCTAAGTAAGTAAGGAAGCAAGGGGTTCTCTGGAGACGCGTCAGACTCTTTTCTCTTTGCACAGATCCGGATTTTTTTCTTTATTTCTTTGGGACATTTGTTTTATGTGGATCAAGACACTATGTAACTGAGGATGACCTTGGACGTCTGTTCCCCGCCCCCCGCCCCCCAGTGCAGAGAACAGGGGCTCTGGATCAACCTAGGCCTTTGTTGTTGCAATGCAGGTTCCCCGCCAAACTCAGAAATATCCTCAGCCCATTAGAAAACAGTTCTTCCTTTCTTTTATTTATTTATTATTTATTTATTTATTGGTTTTTCGAGACAGGGTTTCCTTTTTTTATTTTTATTATTTATTTATTTGCTTGTTTGTTTTGTTTTTTGAGACAAAGTTTCTCCTCGTAGTCCTGCTGTCCTGGAACTCACACTGTAGACCAGGCTGGCCACGAACTCAGAGATCTGCCTCCATCTGCCTTCTGAGTGTTGTGAATAAAAACTCTTGTCTTTTCTTTAATGGGTCTTTTGAGCCCTAAAATGTTGTAAGCAAGATACATGCCTACCATCCCAACACTTGTGAGGTACAGGCAGGAGGATCGAGAGTTCAAGATCAGCCTCTGCTGCTTGGCAAGTTCGAGGCCAGCCTATATGAGACCATTTCTCAAAACAAAACCTAAACTCCTGAATGCTGCACATCTCAAAAGCAAGGGCCAGGGACTTCGAACCACAAGTTAACTAGAGCTGGGTCTTGGCCTCAGCCTCTCCGCCCTTCAAACACCTGACAGTCATCATTGGGCTGCTCAAGACGTAGGAGAGTGCTGATTCGATATGCAGTCCGTCACTCGAGAGCATCAGCCAATGAGAGCTTCATGTCTCCCTAGAGCCCGGTCCTCCTGTAGCTTACCAGGCCCCGCCCCTCCCCGGCCTGTGCGGGCCAGTGGGGCCCCGCGGCTGTCGATGCGGCCCCTCCTCTAACGTCACAGCTTCGTTTGCATAGAAAGCCCCGCCCCTGGCTTTGCAGGACGTCAGCGAGGACTGCAGGGGCCTGAGCCTCCGCCGCCGCCTGCAGCCCCCCGCATCCTTTTCTGTGGCCCAGTCGCCAGCGCAATCGCCACGGTCGCCGTCGCCAGCGTTGTCTCATCTTAGAGAGGGCAAGGTGAGCACAACCCAGGGTCACACACCGCGGAGCCCGCGTTTCACCGACAGCCGGGGGATCAAGGGTGTAGCGCGACTCGGGTGTAGTGGCTATGGGTCTCACATTTGTCCCACACTCCGCACCCCTCACCCTTAACCTGGCACCTGGAGCCCCGGCTTGCGACAGAGGGGGAGGGGAAAGCCAGGCCTTGCGGGAGGCTTGTGCGTGCTCGTGCTTGTGGGTTGAACACGCGTGTGCGCGCCCGCTCGGGATGAAGAGGCTCGAGTGACCTCAGGACGCGCAGCGTGCACACTTGTGAAACCTTGTGCGTGCATGTTGCGCGTGCGCGGTGCGCGCGAGTCCCAGTTCAACTATGCGCTCACACGCGTGTGGAGCCATCCGCGTGTGTGGTGTGTCCTCGAAGATGGCCAGGTGTAGTCGTGCATGGGTGCAGGGAGCAGTGCTCACACATAGGCTTGCACACACCATGCATGTCTGCTTGTTTCTCCAGTTAGCACCACTCTTGCATGCAGGGCAGGGGTTTGGGATGAGAGAGAGGGGAGGGAGAGCGTGTACACGTGCGCGCGCACGCGTGATTTTGTGCATGTGAGCTTGCGTTCATCCCGTCTCCGTCACGTGATGCGGCTATCTCAGGGCCCCAATTCTATCAGGGGAGGAATAAGGATGAGGGAGAACCGGGGATCCTCCTGTACTCATACTCCCGTGTGGGTCTCTTTAGGGTAATTAGAGATTGATGGGAAGGCAGAGGAGGCCTCAGTTTCCCTTCAGGGTGCGGGGGAATCTGAGGTTCACAGCCTGCTTAAAACCTTGGACCTGTCAAGGTCACAGCTCGGGCTATGCTTGGGGGGAGCAGGCACGTGACATTGGGAGGGGTCCTCACCTACCCTTGTGTAGTGCCCACCCTGTGTGTGGTCCTGCTGCTCCTCTCAGGCCCTCTGTGTGCCCCGCCTCCCGCAGATGGCGTCGGCCACAGACTCTCGCTATGGGCAGAAAGAGTCCTCAGACCAGAACTTCGACTATATGTTCAAGATCCTGATCATTGGCAACAGCAGCGTGGGCAAAACCTCCTTCCTCTTCCGCTATGCAGACGACTCCTTCACTCCGGCCTTTGTCAGCACCGTTGGCATAGACTTCAAGGTCAAAACCATCTACCGCAATGACAAGAGAATCAAGCTGCAGATCTGGGTGTGTAAGGCTGAGGGGAGATGTGTCCCACCCCCCGCCCTGGGCTCAGGCATGCAGGGGGGAGATGTGTCCCCCCTCCCCCCCGGGGCTCAAGCATGCAGGTGTTCTCAACTCTCTCACTGTGATCCATAAGAAAAGGAAGCTGGGTAGCTGAGGCTAACCCTCAACTGGTACTGGGGTTTAAGGTCTGCATCTCTACTGCCCAGTATGTGTTTTTTTGATTTCTTTTTTTTTTTTTTTTTTTTTTTTAAGATTTATTTATTTATTTTATTTATGAGTACACTGTCGCTGTCTTCGGACACACCAGAAGAGGGCATCCAATCTCATTACGGATGGTTGTGAGCCACCATGTGGTTGCTGGGATTTGAACTCACGACCTCTGGAAGAGCAGTCAGTGCTCTTAACCGCTGAGCCATCTCTCCAGCCCGTTTTTTTGATTTCTTAAGACCTGTGCGTCCCCACTTCACTCCTGGCATAGTGTGGTACAGGACACTCGGGCAGCACCCAGTGTGTGTCTGTCGAGTGATTACGTGGTCTTTCAGTGACCCATCTGGGTCACTGCCTGCTTTTCCTGACCCACTGTCCCTGGGCCTCAAAGTGGTTGCCTGGACAACCTCAGAGCACATTTTCTCTCAGAGGGGCTGCTGTGAGGTCCCTTCTGACCTCTCTCTTTCCCTCAGGACACAGCAGGGCAAGAACGGTACCGTACCATCACCACAGCCTATTACCGAGGCGCTATGGGTTTCATTCTAATGTATGACATCACCAATGAGGAATCCTTCAACGCAGTGCAGGACTGGTGAGCAGCCTACCCACTCAGAAAACAGAAGGCTCTCAGAATGGGACTGGAGGCAGCCGGAGCCGTGGCTTAGTTGGTAGATGCCTGCCTAGGACAAAGCTGGAGTTCATCTCCGGCATGTCCAAAAGACAACAGAGAATAGGACTCTGCTGGGACACACCAGGGGGCTGTTTCCAAGGCTTGGGGTTGTGGAGGGACACAGGTAACTGTAAGCTAGACAAGGGGCCTCCCACTGATTCTAGCATTCACCTGTCCTGTCCACCCAGGCGATGGTAAGGTCAGGTCTGTGGTCCCAGCTACTTAGGAAGCCAAGGCAGGAAAACCACTTGAGCCCCCTTGTCTGAGATCAAGCACTTGCCTAGCATGTGTGAGAACCTGGATTCCAGCCTCAGCATCACACATGAACTCCCTCAGGTCTCAACATTCAGTCAGATGGATCACTGGCTGTCATCCCAGCATCTGGGAGGCAAGAGGCTGGAGAGAGAGGTCCAGGATAACCTGGGCTCATGGGGAAGGCCTATCAAAGTCACCAAGGGCCGGGTAGTCTGTCTTGCAAGGGCTGGACACAAGGACTCAGGGATAGGGCTGGGTCCTCCAGCGTCCCTTTCAGCTTCTGGCTGCCTCTGCAGGTCCACTCAGATCAAAACATACTCATGGGACAATGCCCAGGTGCTGCTGGTGGGGAACAAGTGTGACATGGAAGACGAGCGAGTGGTGTCCTCAGAACGTGGCCGGCAGCTAGCTGACCACCTGGGTGAGTACCAAGAACTGTGGCCCTTACCAGGCTGGACCAGGGACCCAGACACCTGACAACTACACCCAGTGTCTCATGGATCAGGGTTGAGTCCAGGTGGTTCACACTTGAGAAAACGAGGCCTTATCCAGGAGGCTTTAGCCATGGGTTTCAATGGGCATGGGGGTGTTTGCTATGTCAGCTGACGGTCATGGGCTACCGTCAAGGTGCTGGGCTGTGAGGTTTTTGAACTGAAAGAGAAACATGGGTAGAAGAGGCCAAGCCTGGCTTCCTGGAGCAGGCACACAGCATGTCTATGTGGGAAGGAACAGTGGCTGGGATAGGCAGAGTAGTGACAGCGGTGCATGATCGCCCCCTAGAGGAACTGTGGCTGTCACTACATGCTGAGCTGCCAGGAAACCAGGTTGTCTTTGGAAAGGGACGGTGGGGCCTGGCTGGGCGGCAGGTGGGAGGGGTGTCTCACTAGGGTGCTCAGTATTATCCAGAGGGACGGTGGTAATGGACAGCTCACCCAGGCTAGCGTGGCTTTCCCTTGGGACCCTCCAGTGCCTTTAAAGGGGTGGGAGCGACCCTCGGAGGGCCTGTGTTTGGAGACTGCAGCTCTGTTGTGTCATTCCTCCACTCTCCAACACAGGCTTTGAGTTCTTCGAGGCCAGCGCCAAGGACAACATTAATGTCAAGCAGACCTTTGAGCGTCTGGTGGATGTCATCTGTGAGAAGATGTCAGAGTCCCTGGATACCGCGGACCCTGCGGTCACAGGCGCCAAGCAGGGCCCGCAGCTCACGGACCAGCAGGCTCCGCCTCATCAGGACTGTGCCTGCTGAGTCACCTCCCTTCCTGCTGCCAGGGGCTCGTCCCCCACCCCCTGTCACCCTATTTATTATTGTAGCTATTTATTTATTTATTGAGGATGTGCCCTGAGCGCACCCCTCCCCACCCTGTACATACCTCCACCCAGCTCTGCCTGGTGTATTGTGGTCACCGCTGCCCCCTCATTTTAAGACCCCTCCCGCCATTTTTGTTTTTGTAAACCATCCCATCCACAGTTGTCAGTTGTGAAGAGGGGACCAGATGTCACTCTGCAGCAGGCTGATGGGAGATGGCAGGGCCTGCCAGCTCTGCAGCTGAGGGATTGCCATATGGACCACCTGGTTGACAGACTGGCTTCCTGCTTGCCTGGGCCTTCTGCCCTAAACTTTGGGATAGATGGGGTGTGGGGGGATATATTCGCCACTTTTGGATATCCCCCAAACCTGTTCTGACATCATGAGTGTCAAATGTGTCCCACGCTTCCCTAGAAGTTATGAACACTACACACAGTCAATAAAGCGAATGGACCGTGCTGAGTCTCTGCTGGCCCGGCCCGTGCACCCACCCCACAAGACAGTCCTTGACATTAAAGAGAGAATTTAATGAAATTTCTGCATTGCCACCCAGCCTTGCATCCAGTGAGGCCAAACCAGACCCCACTTGAAGGCCGTGGAACACGCCCTTTACTCTGTCCAAGCAGACCAAGGACTTCATGGTCCCAGTGGAAAGCCACACGGGGACAGTCTCTGGTGGGCTCAGGAGGGACGGCTGGTCCAGGCACGGCTGGCCTGGGATTTGGACATGGCGCAGAGCTTTGACCTGGTTCAGAACTTCTTGAGGGAGCATGTCCATCGACCAAACTCATCTTCTGGGCTTCAGGTTCAGTCTGCGCAGTCTGGAGTCTGAAGTGGTTCAGGAGCCTGTATACAGCAGAGGGACGGTCACGCAGGCACAGGGTGGAACCCACGCCCTCCCCCATTCCACGGGGTTGAGCTCACCCAGTACTTCAGATAGGACAGGTATGTGTCCCAGCCCAGTGTCACCCCATTGATATAGGTGACTCGGAAATGAGAAGGGATGAAGAGGAAGTTCACCAGCTGGGCAGCTGGCCACACACACCAGTCGGCCTACGGAAAGGCGGGGGCACTGTGAGGGCAGGGCGGTTACGAGGGGCGGGGCCTGGAAAGTGGGTGGGACCAAGGCCTTGGGGGTGGGTCTGGAGGGTAGAGGGGGTGGAGCCATGTCGAGAGAGCCCACATGGGCACGCCCACCTTGTAGAAGTCCCAGAATTTGGCTCGCAGCTCCTGGAAGCTCTCCTCTAGTGTCTGGCCCTCCAGGCTGCCAAGGCCTGGGAAGTAAAGACCAGGAAGGGAATGTAAAGGCTGAGGTGGAAGCCGGTCTCAGGCAGAGCACCAGGGCGGGTCCAGGGGAAAAGAGAGGATCCAGTTCACTCCTCAATCCTGCCTCAGTCCCACCCCGACCCTATCCTTCAGGTCACTCTCCTGCATGCACTACGTTCATGCCTGGAGTAACTGCAGCCTTGCACCCAGGCTACCCCAAGAGTTCCTCAGGCATTGTCTTTGCCACTCTAACTCTCATCTGGTCTCCTAACCCCTTCGGCTCCCTGATGGTGTGCCCCTATTGGAGGGATATTCTCAAAAGGAGAACATAAAAACGCAATATTGTTGTAACCTCAGTTCTGGGGAGGGGGTGAGGCAGGACTGTCACAGATTTAGGCCAGCCAGGGCTACACAGTGAGACCATCCCTGTGCTAAAAGTTACCTTTATTTATCAATTTGACTTAGACTAGACTCATCGGAGTCCCCAGGGGGTGTCTACATGCATTAGCCTGTGGCATACTCGCATCGGCTTACGTAATTAAGTGGGAATTCATTGGTGTGGGAAGACCCGGGGTCCTGGACTGGTCACAAAGGGAGAAATAATCTGAGCAAAGCAAGAGAACATGCAGTTCTCTCTCTGGCTGCGATGTGACTAGCTGTGTGCAGTTCCTGCCTTGATCTCTCCACAACTGTAGCTGGAAAACCCTTCCTGTCCCAGTTTGTAGCAAACTTAAGGCAGCTTGAGTGTATGATGTCTCCTAGAACATCATCGGGAGGCAAAGGCAGATGAATCTCTGTGAGTTTGAGACCATCCTGGTCTTTAGAGCAAGTTCCAGGACAGCACGGTCTACACATAGAAACCCGGTCTCCGGGGGGGGGGAAAAAAAAAAAGAGAAGCCCTGTCAGCGCTCCCCTAAGCACAAACCAGGCCTTGCCCATCACGACCCCTGAAGCCAAAGTGCTCCTTACCCAGGAAGTACCAGACGCCCAGTATGGGAGATGCCACCGTTTGATCCACTAGTACCTTCTTCATCACACTCGGGAGGCTTCGTAGACCCGACGCGGGGAGGAGGCGGTCCAACCACAGGTACCAGAAGTGTAGGAAGGGCCCCATGGTGCAGCCCACCGCGAACATGCTGGCTGCGGACAGGGAAAGTCAGGGCAGAACCTCCTGGCGAGGTGCAGGGAGCACTCCAGGGAGACTGACAGGACTCATGAGAGTGGGTGCCCGATCCCAGGGTGACCAACAGGTCCCATCAGAGCAGGTGCCCGGTCCCAGAGTGATTGACAAGCCCCAGGAAGGTGGTTGCCCGGTCCAAGAGTGACCGATAGGTCTCTCTGGGGGTCCGGCTAGTTCGCAGAGCGGTCCTGCTCACCTGAGCGCCGCGCGCTGAACCTCTGTCCAGGCCGCGCGTGCACTTCCCAGGCCTGTCGCGCGCCATCGCCCGCGGCCATGAGCACGCCGCAGCCCAGGGTGTTGGTGACGAGCAGCGCACGGCCCTGGAACAGCGGGCGCCCGGCAGCCAGCGCCTTGCGTGCCCAGAGCCAGCCTCCAGGAGCCATGGCTGAGACAGACACTAGGAGCAGCGGTAGCCGCAGGCCCCGCGCCAATCACATGCCGTGCCGAAGAACCGCCCTATTCAGATCGGACCAATCCAAAACCCCAAAGCTCCGCCTCTCGAAGGAAATGACCAATCGTCCTCAGGCGTTGCGGCACGCCGCTCACGCCGAACACGGAAGTCCTGTTTTGCGTTACCCGCCCTTTTCCTGCTTTCAGCGGACCAATGGGCAAGCGCACATGAGTCTCGCGGGCATCCCCCGCCGTGTCCCGCCCCCTGAGCCGAGCTGACCAATCGTGGGTCGTTGCCTTCCGCTGAGCCGCCTCGCCCACAAAGCCTCCTGGGAATGGGCGGGGTGAGGAGCGTTTGCAAAGCTGTTCGGACTTGACCTTGGTGTGACCTCTGATGTGCCAGTACAGCTGCTCAGGCAAGTTCAAGGACACTGGTCTAACCTCAGCTGAGATCTGTTCTCTTGAAGCCCAGGGTGGCCTTGAACTACTGCAGCCTCCATCGCCGTGCCACCTGTCTGCGTTTCGAAGACTGAATAGGAGGAGTTCGTTATGCAAATTTCGTGTATTGATCTTTTCACAGCAACTTTGTGTCGCTGCAGAAACAAACATCCTTACTTCCTTTATTCTTTAACCGTGCACAAGCCACCAGACTGTTCTGGGATGCCCAGGTTCTCGACTATCTCACTCACCCTTTCCAGGAAAGTATTATTTTTTCCTGCAGTGCACACATCCTCCCGATCCCCCATCAAGTCTCTGCCCCATCATGGGTTTTCTTGCTACGGATTTATCCATGAATTTCTGTTCTGCCTAAGGAACTCCTACTCATTCTTCAAATCCCAATTCTTTTTTTTTTTTTTTTTTTTTTTTTGAGACAGGGTTTCTCTGTGTAGCTCTGGCTGTCCTGGAACTCACTCTGTAGACCAGGCTGGCCTCCAACTCAGAAATCTGCCTGCCTCTGCCTCCCAAGTGCTGGGATTACAGGCGCGCGCCACCACCACCCGGCTCAAAACTCAATTCTTAAATGCTTATCTTACTTATACAGACTCTTAAAGCACACACTCCATTCTTCCACCCCTCATTCCTCCCCCTGGTCCATCCTGGCTTCATTAAACTAGAGATAAGTTTGGTTCTGCATTTCCTGGACAGGGGACTGACTCATCAGTAGTCTTTGACATCTTAAGGTGTGATGGTCAATACTGTCAATCAGACAGGATCTAGAGTCACCTTGAAGACAAGCCCCCGGGCATATGAGATGCTTGGTCTAGGACAGAGACCTGATGCTGCGACCCTTTCATACTGACCCCAACCATAATGTTTTATTGTTAGGTAATTTGCTACTGTCATGAATTGAAAATATCTGATATGTGACCCCTGTGAAAGGGTTGTTTGACCCCCTCCCAAGGGGTCTGGACCCACAGGGTGAGGGCTGCTCTTCTAGATTGTTTGATGAGGTGACAACATCCCCAACCTGGAATGTGGATGGCACTATCCTATGTGCTGGAGTTCTGGATGAATTAAAAAGTTGCAAGTGGCTGAGCAGTGGTGACCCACACCTTTAGTCCCAGCACTCGGGAGGCAGAGGGAGTTAGAGGCTAGCCTGCTCTACAGAGCAAGTTCCAGGACAGCCAGGGTTACATGGAAAACTCTGTCTCCACACACCCCGCCCCCCAAATAGGAGAAAGTGGGTGGAGCATCCACATTCACGTGCCTGCTTCCTGACTGTGCATTCAATGTGACTTCAAGCTCTTGCCCGGACTTACCCACACACAGACATATACACAGACACATAGACACACAGACACACACAGACACACACACACACAGAGACACACACAGACACACAGATACATACACAGATGTACACACACAGACACACACAGACACACACACATACACACACAGATGCACAGACACACACAGACATACACACACAGACACACAGAGACACACACACACAGATGTACACACACACAGATGCACACATAGACACATACACAGTCACACAGACACACACACAGATGCACACACACAGACGCACACACACAGACACACACACAGACACACACAGACACACACAGATGCACACACACACAGATGCACACACAGACACATACATACACAGTCACACAGACACACACAGAGACACATACACACACAGACACACACACAGATGCACACACACAGACGCACACACACAGACATACACACAGACACACACAGATGCACACACACACAGATGCACACACAGACACATACATACACAGTCACACAGACACACACAGAGACACATACACACACAGACACACACACACACACACACACAGAGGAGATGGGCTATACTCTCATAAAGTGAGCCAGCAGAGAGCCAGCGTGCACCCTTCCTCCCTTAAGTAGCTTTTGTTTTTTTTGTCATACAATGAAAAAGCAACTCATAGAGACTGGCATTGTTTGGCTTTTCAGAGGAGGCATGAACTCCAGGGTCTGGAGCATCGAGTGCTGAACAGGTGTAGAACCCTGGGTTACAACGACACATTAACAACAAAAACACAAACTCCAACTCCAGGAAAAAGGAACTACAGCAATATAGATGATTTATTCAATGAATTTAAATTTAGCACCATTTGAAAATAAGGCAAGATTCTTGACTCTGAGAGGTTTTGAGTCTGGGTTTTGTGGGAGATGTGCAGCTTCTTCCTGTCTAGGCGGCAGTTTTTGCAGGTTCTCAATTTGAACAAGCTGGGCAGCTTTTCTTGGCACGATGGCTTTCATTTATAGCAGACCTCCCTGGGGGAGTCGGTCATGGAGGAGCAGACGTCTGGCTTCTCCATTCCCTGGAGGGGGATGAAAGGCCAGGAATGGGGAGCTTTTGGGAAGATTCAGTCCCCACCCCAGATGAACCCCAGGATTCACACCCAGCTTACCTGGTACAGCTGACAGACTAAACTCAGGAGTTGGCTGAGGTCCTTCAAAGGTTTCTGCATATCACAGGAGACATGGTTAAGCACAGCTAGGTCAGGGGCATGAGCCTGGGAGCTGAGATAGGAGGATCACTGATCGTTCCAGAACAATCTCACTTGTGCTGACCTAGGCCAGGGATCTGAGCTGTCACTCTGCTATGGGTCCTCAGAGTACAAAGACTCTTATGTGAGGCCAGAGCTCAAAATGGGGTACCGTTTTTGTCTTTTGGTATTTCTGTTTTGGTGTCTTTTTTGTAATTAAAATATTATTTTTAGATTTGTTTATCTTATTTCATATGTAGAGATGTTTTGCCTGCAAATATGTCTGTACACTATGTTTATGTAGTACCCATGGCGGCCACAAGACGGCAGTAGATCCCTGGAGAAGGAGTATTGGCAGCAAGCGGCTAAGTGCTTGTTGGGACTCGAACCCAGGTTTTCTGCAAGACCTGCCAGGGCTCTTAACCGCTGAGCCTGGAGTCACTGATGCAGCAACACTCACCATGCCCACCTTTTCACATGACTCTGGGACTTTGAACTCAGACTGTGCTGCCCTGGCTGGGTAGAGAGTTCTTACCTCATTGACCAGCACCCAGGGCACATACTCATGGGGTGGCTGAAGAGCATCTGTGAGCTGGGCGTTCTTGTGCATGAGCTGTGTGGCCCGTTTCCCGGTGGCACACTCCATGATGCTTTCTGGTGACACCTCCGGAGCATATACCTGCAGGCACTGTGAGGAGAGGAATACACATTGCTCAGCTCCCTCGTTATTTCACCAGTCCCCGAGTGGCTGCAGACGAGCCTCTCCCCTCTCACTGTCTGCCTGGGTGGAGGTTTCTTGAAGCTGAGCCTTTGGGTGCTCTCGCCTCCCAGTAACACCGGATTTGCAGCCTCTGCCCCCTGGTATCTCATTATCCCAGAGCCTTCTTGCGTGCCGATCCCTCTGCTGGCAACACCCTACTACTTCCTTGGTGTCTCCTAGGTACTCACCTTCCTTCACTCTCCAGTCCCACCAAAGGAGCAGGGCTGGGAGTGTCCTACAGGCTCTAGGAGGCTGAGAGGCCTGATGTTAGATAAGCTACGGTAGCGATTGGAAAGTTGTGAATCAACCTTTGGACGTTACTTCCCACAATGCCCTGGGAAGCAGGCTCTGCCTGTCTTATCTCCTGTCACTTGTGTCTTGTGTCTACAGATAGTGAAGATCACAGCTCTGCTCATAGACTTAAAGGTTTTCCCTTATAAAAACTGTATGGGGAAAGTCACACCCAGGGCTAGGGGCGTGACTTGGGGCGGAGCCCCTGCTTAGAACCCCCCAGTGAGGGGTCTGAGGGCGTGGCTTAGGGATTGATCCCCTATCTAGATATTGGAGCCCTGGCTACACAACTTCCCACCCAGCAACTCACGGGTCCGAGTTTCTTCTCCATATCCTCCATCTCCTCCATACAGACGATGGTTAGAAACGCCGCCTCTTTTTCCAGCGTATCCAGCAGACAGGCCTGGAGAGGCAGGGAAATGTTGTCTGGAGAAAGCGGCCAACCCCGCCTCCCTCCGCGGCAGGTCTGCACTCCGGCTTACCTCCACCTTATTCAATCTACACTCCAGCTCCCCGTGTTGGCACGTGAACTCCCACGTACCACTGACATTTCTCTCCTGCAAGATACCGATGGAGCTTAGTGAGTTCAGGTGACCAGGCGTTCCTGTCCCTGGGCATCCTCCTGCTTCAATTTCCCGGTCCCCGCCCCTATCACCTGTGCGTTCCCGTAGGGCACCAGGGTGATGTTCATGATTTCCATAACCATCAGCCAGGTTGGGAACAAATTTCGGACGAGGAAGTAGCGACAGGCTCCACACAGGGACTCATAATAGAGGCTCACTCTGACAGGTGGTTCAGGGATCAACGGACGTGGCCCGAAGAGGCACAGGTTGTGGGTCTAAAAGGAGGAGAGGTGTCTGGTGAGATGTGGCCCCGGTCATCCCCAGGCTTCCTAGCCTGGTCAGCCCTGCAGAGGGCAGCTTTATGCCAAGACGCTGGTCAG